TGTTCTGCTCTGACGTCAGCCCGTCCCAGAGAGTTCTGGCCATGGAGGGATACATGGTGGGGAGTGGTGTGGAAAGGGATGACTGTGGCTATGTCTGGGGCATCGGGGCATCGGTTTATGTAGCACCGGTGGGCGGCAGACGGACGGACGGGTGGTTGTCGTGTCATTTGAATGGGCAACAGTCGCCTGCACCGGGAAGCGGCGCGGGCGGCGCTCTTTCGGCCGACGCGCCGCTTCAATGCCGGCGCCAGTGAGTGGTCGTGTCCGCTTTGGGCGGGCATGAATGCGGGCGCCGACGCTCTAGAGCGGATCGAAAATGCGCGGGAGGGGTGAGGTGTTTTTGGTGGGCCAAGGCGGTCAGAAACAGGCTTGGGATCGGTCCGGACTCCCGCAAACCTCCCCACTTTTGCTTCTGGTTTGCGGGAGAAATCGCGTCCGGACCACTCTGCGAACGGATACAGGCCACGTTGGATGACTTCCGCGGTCCGGACAGCCCGGTCCAAACGGTTGCAGGAGGTTTACGGGTCGGCGTTGGAGATACCCTAACTCTATCTTCTAATCGCAACGAGTACCCAGCGCTTTCGTCAAAAAGAAGAAAAGATAGAGTAAGCATTACAGATTACGACCGTATCTTTTGCACGCCACGTTGGAAAACCGGGAACTTATTTGTTCGGGTATGGTTTAAGGGCCCACAGCGTGACAACACCCCTAAACAAAAAATCTACTTGCACCATTCTATATATCTATCTACATAATTTATTATTACACCACTACACACGCAGCGTGAAGATGGTGACCTTTGTATCTCAGGTGGCACGCTTTCTACCAATCATCTTTGGCAAGCGCCACAACAAACAATTCCCGAGCACATCATGGGCTTTGGTGTCATTCGGTTCGGTTCTGGTTCCAGCTTCCGACATTGCCAAGTCGTTGTCGTTGAATGCCTCCTAGTAAATGAATGAAACTTTCTTCTCCTCAAAAAAGAACGGAACTTAATCTACAAGCCTACGACTACATATACAATTGTGGACGCTCTATTCTTGTTAGGTGGCATTTTTTTCCCGGAATAACTTCCGATCTATTCTGTCAAGGTAGTACAAAGAACACCAGAAGTAAAAAATACATCTAGGTCCGTAAATCACCTAGCGACGAGTACTTGCACTGGAGCGAGCCGAAGGCGCGCCACTGTCTTCGCCCCTCCCTCGTCGAACCCGGGCAAACCTTGTTGTAGTAGACAGTCGGAAAGTTGTTGTGCTAAGGCCCCATAGGACCAGCGCACCAGAACAGCATCCGCCGCCGATGAAGAGAAGCGTAGATCAGAAGGATCCAATCTATAGACACACGAGCACACACGAACGAAAACAAGATCCACATGAATCCATCGAAGACAAACGCCGACCGAATCCCGTGAGATCCGCCGGAGACAAACCTCCACACGCCCTCCAATGATGCTAGAAACACCATCGGAACAGGGACAAGGCGGGGAGAACCTTATTCCATCAGCAGAGAGCCGTCGCCACCTCACCTCTCTGAGCAGGACACAAACCCTAACAAAACTCAAAAGAGTATGAAAAACGGAGCCCTCCCGCCGGCAAGGGCCGGGATCCACCATGCCTCCATGGCCGTAAGACCATAGAAGACGAGGTAGACCGGAGGTGGCACTGGCGGGAGGCACAGAAACCCTAGCCAAGGGGTCCTCTTTTCTTCCCGTGGATCGAGACGTAACCAGTTGGGGGACTTGGCGTGATAGTCAAATATATATAACATGTGATTTGTTTAGTTTAATAAATCAATAAATCAGGCCAGTTTCTAATATTGCACTAGGTCTACAATTTAGGTGCAGTGTTTTTCTAGATAATGGAAGAGCAATTTAAGTGTAATATTTAGTTCATAGATCATTTACAGAGCAGTGCCTTGCAAATGACTACAGTGAGGTAAAAAAATAGAAATGTTACTAGAATAATTTAGTGGATCGCCTTTAACCCCCAAGCTTCTACATTTATAATGATCTTACAATGAACTTGTGTTTATTTCCGGAAAGTGTACTCCTTGGTTGCCTTGTGGAAACCCTTCCCTCCCTGCGTCGCCACCCGCGAGGCGGCCGACGAGGGCCCCCAAATCCGCTCGCCGCGAGCCTCCCCTCCTCCTCCCTCCTCCCTCGCCGCCGCCAGGGGGCGCGGCCGGGCGAAGCCCGACCGACGCCGGCGGTGGCGGGGCCTGTTCTTCCCCCGGCTCGACGGGGCGGCGCGGGCTGCTTCTTCGGGTACGGGCGCGGTGCGGACGCGGGGCACCGCGGCGTGGCGACGCGCGGCCTCCTGGCAGGCGTGGCATGGCATGGCCGACTGCGCGGTGGTGCGCGCCTCGCCGTGGCGGCCGGATCCGTCCGGCAGGCGGCGCGGGCGGCAGTTGGGGTCCGGCTTCGGGCCCCCGGCGACTGCGTTGGTTCCTCTCCGTCGCGGGCGTGCGTGGTGGTGCGGCTCGGCCGGTGGTGGTACGCGACCTGGTGGTGGTGGCCGGCGGTGCACGTGGTGGTGGTGCTTTCACTTGGCGGCTATCTCTGCGGGGAGGCAGTGGAGCGGCTTGGACATGTGAGGTGGCGTCGACGGCGCGCCGGCTGCAGCGCGAAGGCGGGAACTTTACGGGCCTCGGAGATCCCGGCCGGGCCTATGCGGCCACGGGCCTGGTATGTTCCTGCTATTTTCTCTTTCTTTTTTTTTGGGCGTGACTGTGTTGCTTCCGCCCCAGTACCTATCGTTGAATATATCGGTTGGTTGCTTTGTATACAAAGCGGGGAGAAACCCTTTTTGGGCAAAGTGTACTCCTTGAAAAGTTGCAGACAACTGAATGATACTTGTTTGTAAGTCGAGACCTTGAGCAACTAATATTTATTTAAATATTAATTGAGCTGTTGCATAGTTTAGAGAATATTAGCATGTTGATCTCGAGATTAAAATTGTACACATTTTCATACCTAAAGGTTCATTGACCTATTTGCACAATTGTTGTCTTGATGGTATCCAACTCGATAGATTGAGAAATACTCCCTCCGTTCGGAATTACTTGTCACCAAAATAGATGTATCTAGAACTAAAATACATCTAGATACATCCATTTCAATGACAAGTATTTCCGAACGGAGGGAGTAATGTTTAAAGCAACTAAGAAATAGCAATTTCAGAAGAAAATATTACATTATACTAAAGCTGCGGCAATTAATATTGTTCGGAGAGTAGCAACTTTGATCTAGAGATTCGAGATGTGAACATCTTAGTAATATCTAAAGTTGCATAAACGTGTTTGTACACTGGTAATTTTGGTGATACGCAACTCGACGGGGTGAGAAATAATTTTTGAAATAGTAAGAAATGGCAGTTTCGAAAGAATAATCTAAGATGGAATTCGGAAAAAAGAAATCTAAGCAGGATTGTGACAGGGCGATCACGAAAGTTTCTCAGTCGTTTTGGTTGCTTACGTACGCGGATGATCACGACACGGGGAGCACAGAGTACCCAGCATCATCTGTCACTCTGGGAAGGGAAACCATATGAAACTTAGTTCGGTTGTGGCTGCTGGTAAGCAGTACAAAAGTCACATCATGCTAGTAGGTTTGAAATCTCTCCTTATATAATACCCACCTTTTTCCTAGCTCTAAACCTCAAGCCAAGCTCGCTCATAGCTCGCTCAGCACACACGAGACGTGCAATGGATTTCCTCGCCTCCTTGATCAACCTCGCCGCCTTGATCTCCGGCGCCTGTCGCGACGCGGAGATGCTGCCGGGTGCGCTCATCTCCTGCGGCGTCCTCCAAGCAGCCGCAGCGCTCTGCCTCGTCATCTCCAGAGCGCCCGGAGGTATATTTCTCCACCACGGCAGAGCACCCTTCTTCCTGTACTACGGCATCCTCGTCGCCGTGGTGATCTTTGGGCTCCTCGAGGCGTCGGCCGGCTTCTGGGTGTCAGCCGACGTGGTCGGACGACGCGCCGCCGGGAAGACGATGCTGTGGCTGGGCCTCCTGCCCATTGTCTTCGTGGTTGCGCTCGGAGGCTTTGTGATTCTGAACATGAAATAGTTGATGTGCCGATATCATTGTAATCTGTTCGTCTTGTGTCATTTGTGTTTTGTACCGGCCGTTTGAGCTTGATGTTTCATTTCCTTCGACATGTTTGGGTTATTACGCTATTTGACGAATAACTAAGGGTGGATGTTCTGTTGTGCCTTCCGATCCGTGTGAAATTGGTTTTTATTACAGGTAATGTGGTCTTCCCTGTTTTGCAATACGAACGAAAATACATCAGTTGCAGTGGAAGCAGAGGGGAATGAAGTGTTTTTCTTTTTCAGCGTTAGAGAAGTTTTTTTTTTCAGTTGCAGTGGAACGAAGTTCGTCCGGCAATCCAGTGCTGTAAGGTTCACGGCCTCTGGGCCCATTTCATGAAAAAACTGGGCTAAACTACTTGCAGCAACCTAACTAAATCAACAGAACTAGCCTGGTCAGCTTTTTAATATTGACAGGCCGAACTCACGGAGCCCACAGACCTTTGTGTGCAGTTCTAAAATACGAAACAGAAAAAATAAATAATTCCTCAAAAAAGACAAATAAATAAATGCCACTAAAAAAAGAAAACTAAATAAATATTCCCTCCGATCCTAAATACTTGTCTTTCTAGAGATTTCAACAAGTGACTACATACGGCGCAAAATGAATGAATCTACACTTTAAAATATGTCTACATACATTTGTATGTTGAGTCCATTTGAAATGACTAGAAAGACAAGTATTTAGGAACGGAGGGAGTAGTAGTAGTAATAAATAGAGCTTTGTGTGCTAGCTCCACGGTCGACTGAAAGCTCTTCTCTGCTCGCCGGCTCTCAACTCCGCGTCAACCGCATTTGGCGCATTGTATATTGCTTCTTCTCTGCTCGCCTGTTGTCAACTCTCAGCATCCCTTGCTCCCTGTACTTTTCCTCCATTGACCATCCCTCGAACAGCTCCCAGCGGATCTGATGGAGGCCGCGATCGCATGGCTGGTGCAGGCCATCCTTGCAGCACTCCTGATCGACAAGCTCGATGCCTGGATTCGACGAGTCGGGCTTGCCGATGACGTTGAAAAGCTCAAGTCGGGGATCAGGGGAATCAACATGGTGGTCTCTGCTGTGAAGGAGAGGGGGATCAGGAACGAGTCGCTGGATGAATCTCTGGCTCTTCTCAAGGATCTGCTCTACGATGCCGACGATGTGGTCGACGAACTCGACTACTGCAGGCTCCAAGAGCTGGTCGAAGGAGGTAAGTAGCTTGATCTTATAGCTTTCTTTTATTCTTACTTACATGACCAAGGACGATCTTGCTTTAATTGTTAAGTCCATGCCTCTTTGGGCACAGTTACATGGGACGAGCCTGACGCTATGCATGGAGCTGAGCGAGTTGATGAGATATCGAGGGGCGATGCTGATACACGTACACCCAATAGTAGTGTTGGCAGATTACGGTCACCGGTATGGGAACACTTTACGATCACAGAAAAAGTTAACGAAAAGCCTATCAAAGCAATATGTATATACTGTAGAAACGAGTTTAATTGTGAAACGAAGACCAACGGGACTTCATCTATGAAAAAACATTTGGAGAAAGAGCATTCCGTGACTTGTACGAAGAGACATGGATTGCATCCCCCAAACCATTTAAGGTAACTAAGCGAGATTTGTATACCTTGAGCAGAGATCGTTTATATACATGTCCTTGGGAGACCATTCTAAGCACCATCCTTTTAACTGCAGCACCGGGGAGCCTATTGTAATTGGCAGCTCATCCAGGAGAAAAGGAAATAAACAACGGTCCAAGGCATGGGATTCTTTTGATGTCATAGAAGAAGAAAACGGACAGCCAATCAAATCAAGATGTAAATACTGTCCCACAGTGATCAAATGTGGAACCAAGAATGGGACGGCAAGTATGCTCAACCATAACAAGATTTGTAATAAGAAACCTGGATCAGATGACCAGCCACCAAACCCGTCAAGGTAGCTACAGAATCTATCCCTTTCAGTATTCTCTTCTAATTACGAGTCCCACCGTGGTTCTAATATCCAATTCACGGTCCTTTCTTACTGCAGCAACCGTGATGCTACTGCAAATGTGACGCCTATTGTAACTGGTGAATCTAGTAGAAAGAGAAGGAAGTCTGCACAAATCATTGCAGCTAATGCACGCACCCCTTGGGACAAGGCTACATTATCCAGTAGGATACGAAAAATTGCTAGTCAGTTACAAGACATCCAAAGGGGAGTGAGCGAAGTTCTCAAATTATATGGATCGGACTTAGCTTCCAATTCAAATCATCATCAAAGTATAACCTTAGATGAGCACCTAAGGACATCAAGTCTTATTCCACGGAACGTATATGGAAGAGTTGCAGAAAAGAACTCCATTATAAAGATGATAATAGAAGAAAGATTTGATGGTGTAGTTGTTCTGCCTATTGTAGGCATTGCAGGCGTTGGGAAAACAACTCTTGCTCAACTTGTGTACAATGATCCAGATGTGGAACATCAATTTGACCAAAGGATATGGGTTTGGGTGTCTCACAACTTTGACGAAATGACACTAACAAAGGAGATCTTAAACTCTGTTTCTCAAGAAAGGCATGAAGGAATAAACAGTTTTGTGAAGCTTCAGGAGACCTTGAAGAGTCATGCCAATTCAAAGAGACTTTTACTTATTTTAGATAATGTCTGGGATGACATGAACGCTATCCAGTGGGACAAAATGTTGGCTCCTCTGGCATCCTCAAGTCATGTGAATGGTAATGTGATTCTAGTCACTACTAGAAATATGTCTGTTGCACAAAGGTTAGGCACCCTCAAACCGGTCAAATTAGGTGCCTTGGAAAATGATGACTTTTGGTTATTGTTCCAATCACGTGCATTTGGTTATGAGAACTGTGAGGAGCATCAAACTCTTAGTTCCATCGGGCGGCAAATAGCTGAGAAGTTAAAGGGCAACCCATTAGCAGCTGTATCTATAGGTGATCTATTAATAAAGAAATTTAACACTGATTATTGGGGAAACGTTCTAAATAACGAAGACTGGAAATCCATACAGCTCAGTGGAGGAATTATGGCTGCTCTGAAGCTTAGCTATGATCAACTTCCTTACCATTTACAACAATGTTTCTCGTATTGCTCCATATTCCCCAACAGCTATCAGTTTCTTGGTGAGGAGTTGGTTGGTTTTTGGATTTCACAGGGATTTGTAAAGCGTAGCAACTCTAGCCAGAGATTGGAGGATATAGGACGGCGCTATCTGATTGATTTGGTTAACCTGGGCTTCTTTGAGGAAGTTAAAAGAGAAGAACCCTATCTAGGCAGTCAAGTTCTTTATGCCATATGCGGTCTCATGCATGATTTTGTGGTGATGGTTTCAAAGACCGACTGTGCAAGTATAGATGGCCTGCAGTGCAACAAAATGCCTCAAACTATACGACATTTGTCAATAATAACTGGTTCTGCATATAACAAAGATCAGCATGGGAACATTCCTCGTGATGAGAAGTTTGAAGAAATTCTGAGAAATGCAATTACATCAGTTAGCAGATTGAGGACATTGGTCTTACTTGGGCACTGTGACTCTTTCTTCTTACTATTATTCCAAGATATATTCCAAAAGGCACATAATTTACGCGTACTACAAATGTCTGATGTGATGGATGAGGTTTTACCTCAGCTTTTGAGCAAGTTGTACCATCTTCAAGTATTAGAAGTCAGCTACACTGAACCAAGTATACCTGGTAGAATGAATAATCTTGTTAGCCTGCGGCACCTTGTTGTACGCAAGGGATTAGTACTCTTCCATTGCAACCATTGATAACATGACACCATTTCACGAGCTACATGGTTTTAAGTTTCAAATTTCAAGTGGCTTTGAGAAAACACAACTTCAATCCACGGATGAGCATTGTATGCATGTTAATACTCTAGAAAAGGTTTATGAGGCAGGACTAGTAAACAATGAACTCTCAGAAAAGTTGCACTTGTCCGCGGACATAGTCATGGAGCTTGAGGATTTCGAACCACATTGGGACTTAACGGTTCTCCAGATATCTGGGTATAATTCTACTTGGTCAATTGGGTTTGACAACATTTTCTCAGTTCCCCTCTTCCAGACGGTTCAGATATATGATTGTAGAGAATGGAAAATACTTCCATCTTTGGAAAGGTTCCAGTTTTTGACAAAGCTGAAGTTGGTAAACCTGCCAGAAGTAATAGAAATACTGGTCCCTTCACTGGAGGAGCTAGCTTTAGTTGAAATGCCAAAGTTGGAGAAATGTTCGTGCACTTCAGTGGAAGGTATGAGCTCTAGCCTAAGATCACTGCAGATCAAGGATTGTCAAGCACTGAAGGAGTTTGACCTGTTTGAGAACAATGATAAATTCGAAACCGAGCAGAGGTCATGGGCTCCTAGTCTTAGGGAACTATTTCTGCAGGGTTGCCCCCATTTAAAAGTTCTGAAGCCTCTTCCACCTTCAACCACCTGTTCCCTGAAACTCATAAGTGGAGTTTCAACACTTCCGTACATGGAAGGATCATCTGGCGAAAAGTTACGAATTGGGAATATTCATGAGGATGTGTACGGATCTTTTGATGAATCTTCCGATGAGTTGAGGATATTGGATGACAAAATTTTGATGTTCCATAATCTGAGAAATCTCAAATCAATGATGATACGTGGTTGCAGGAATCTTCGTTCTATTTCATTCAAAGGTTTTAGTTATCTCGTCTCTTTAACAAGCTTGGAAATAAGAGATTGTGAAAAACTTTTCTCAGATGAGATGCCGGAGCATAACCATGAAAACGTGCCAGCTGAAAATTACAACGCATTCCCCTCTCTTAAAAGTCTCAGTATTTTGTACTGTGGTATAGCGGGGAAGTGGCTATCTCTGATGCTGCAACATGCGCCATGCCTAGAGGAATTGCATCTATCCTCGGTAGAGGAAGAAAACTCAGAAGAGGAAGATGGCGGTGTATCAAATCTTAGCCCAGCCAAGGACAAATCATCAGGAAATCTAGATGACGGGTTAGCTCGAGACGGACTCATTCCATTAAATCTCATCTCCTCTCTAAAGAGGATAACTATTGAGAGGTGCCCTCATCTAACATTTAACTGGGAGGAAGGCGTCTCGGGATTTACTTCCCTTGAGAAGCTAATCATTCTGGACCGCCCCGACCTGCTCTCGTCGTTGGTGCATACAAATGGAAGATGGCTCCTCCCGGCATCAGAAACTTACAATCAGTGAATATTCCCAAGAAGCGCTGCAACCCTGCTTTCCTAGCGATATCACCAGCCTTAAAAAGTTAAGGGTATATGGAAGCCCAGACTTGCAATCTCTACAGCTTTACTCATGCACTGCACTGGAAGAATTGAGCATTTGGGACTGTGGATCGCTCACAATCACTGAACCCCTTGGCAGCCACAGGCATTTGAATGTATCAGACTGCCTTGGCTTGCCACCATATTCGGAGAGCCTTTCAAGGCTGTGCCCTCGTCTGGAAACGCTTAAGATCAGTGGCCCATCTGTCCTTACCATGTCATCCTGCAAGAACCTCACCTCCCTGAAATGCCTACAACTTTATCGTTGGGAGAAAGGGACGAGACTAACAGATGAGCAAGAGCAAGCACTTGTGCTCCTCAAGTCCCTGCAAAGGCTCGAATTTCTTTGGTGTTATGATCTCGTAGATCTTCCTGCGAGGCTACGCAACCTCCCTTCCCTCAAGAGTCTGAAGATAGACCAGTGTGGAAGCATCTCAAGGCTGCCGGAAGCAGGCCTCCCACATTCGCTGGAAGAACTGGAAATCAAATTTTGCAGCAAGCTAGAAGATGAATGCAGGCGGCTAGCAACGTGTGAAGACAAGCTAAAAGTCAAAATTGATCGGAGATATGTGAACTAATTACTGGATGACTTGTTATGGACATGTTTCAGCATGCACAACACGTACCTCTTGGTTGCTCTTGAGTTAAAGTTGTGTCATATAATTAAATGCAGAGTCGACATAACTGATAAATGTGTAGTGTACGCTTGTTCTAGAATGAGCGTGTCAGTAAGCATTCCAGCTACTCAATATATATCATGTAACGTATGTTTGTTGTTTGTTATTCATGTCGTCTTGTCAACTGAAAAAGATGGTCTTTCATTTCCTTGTTTTTTTTACAGGGAGAATTTTCATTTCCTTGAGTAGAGAGAGAACTGGAAACATAAATCCGACAATGCATCCTGTAGTTTGTTACTCCCTCCCATCCATATTAATTGTTGTAACTTTAGTACAACGTTGTACCAAAGCTGCGACAATTAATATGAATCGGAGGGAGTACATAATTTTGCTTTATCCAAAATTTCCTTCCTATACCATGCACATACAGTATGCTCTAGTGTGTTGAACAGAGCAGACAAACATGCCACAGACTCGCACTTCCAGAGATCAGGATGGACTTGCCACTTGCCTACACGAAACTGCGACCGATAGTTCCAATGCTGATTACCGGTTATATTACTTTTGATAGAACCTGAAGCTTCTTCTGTGTGCGTAGTGTTGTACTGTCCTATCTTTGGTAACATCTTAGTCGTTTGTGCTGCCTGAAAGCCATGTTGTACTGCAGTCTGCAGACTGTGGTGTTGGATCTTTGGATTAGCTTCTGATCTGGCGCACTTCTGTTAGTGGTAGTTTCCTTTGCTGGACAAGAGATTAGCATATGCACATGATAACTGATGAGGTGCTCAATTTTTCTATGCTTAAGAATCTCGTCAGCTATAAGAAAATAAAGGAGAAAACATGGTATTGCAGTGAACATATCCGTATATAAT